AAACTCTGATCATATTATAACACCTTAATTTCATCTTAAAAAAAGAATCTTTATCCTCTAATCTCATGGTAAGACCATACCCATTTTCTCCAGCCCATTGAATGCAGCCAAATGTCCCACACATCACTCAAGAGCCCTACCACACTTTTCTCCCAATACGTACTCCCTTATTTTCTTGGATCTGTTACTCTCTGTCTCTGCTTTCTTCTTCCCATTATCTGTAGCTATTCTTGATCTATTTGAGAACTATTTGGGGATCTCATTTCACACTTGATATGGCTGCCTCCCAGCTCTGCACACTCCATTTTAACTTTATCCGTGTCTTCTAAAACAGCCCCTCTCTGAACTGGGCTGAGGAAACTGACCAGTTTAGGTTCCTTATCTCCACTGTGGGATAAAAAATGATATGCCTGTTTAATCGCATTTTTATGGGGAAAAGTACAAAGCTTACCACCGCAAGCTACAGGTAAGAGCCTGATTGAAGGACTTGAATCTCTAATCCAAAAGCTACATGCACAATTCTACTTAATCTTAGTTAGCTCACAGGGTAAATACCAAGGCATAAATCTCATTTATATCTATATTGTAAAATACCATAAGTTTATCAAGTATTTAGATATACTACCCTGAAAGTTCAGAGACTTTATACTTAATGGAAATAAAGTATTATTGTTTTGCAATGGGAAGTACAACTATTTTTGACAGAGCAAGAACTTGTAGGTAACAGACATTGATTATTATAGGCTTCTAAAAAACAACATGCATTTAAATGTTTGGTATAAAATTACACTGCTCAATAACAGATTTAAGAGTCCAAAGAGTCACTTTTTTCCAAACACAACGTTTTTAAAAATAACTATTTGCCTCTACAGGATTTAGAAAATAGTGATACATAAATGCTCTCTGCAAGATATTCTTCTCTTTCATTTAGTGAATAGTTTCACAAATACCTGTCCTAATATGGTACAATCTTCAATATTATTATGTAAAAAATTGTTTCAGAAGTATTGATAGAATGGCACCATTTGTGTTAATATACAAATATAAATAGGTAGATATAGAGAGAGATAAACAGATGATTGATAGATGATAAATGGATAGAGACAAGACATGCTTTAACAGGAAGTATTTCTAAAAAAAGCCTCAGAACGTAATGATTATTGACTTAAGAAGACCCATAGACTGGGAAAGAGAAATACCTACTTTCCACTGTCAGTCTTTTGAAATATATATATATTTTCTTAGTAAGAGACTGATAAACTGAAATACAAACAGATGGACACACACACACACACACACACACACACACACACACACAAAGTGAATAGATAATCCCTACCCTAAATTTAACTTATAACTTATGTGACCAATTAAATTTGTAAAAATATAGGACAATGCTCTCAAAAGAATCAACCCCAAGAGCAAAATAGCTTGATTTATTATTAAAAGAGTAGAATTAGACACACTTATATTCTGTTACTGAATAGAATGAAATAGAGAGGACCTACAATTTTGTAGCTTGGAAATTTAATGAAATATTTAAATTAATTATAAGAAGGGGTGACTTATTTTACTTGTTTCATCTTGTAAAATTTTCTGTTGAAGAAGGTACTCTAAGCAGAGGCTAAAAGACAATATTTGAGATAATATTTTGACAAGATTAAAATTAGAATTAAAACTGTCCTCTAGTGAACTGAACTTTCTCAAATTACCAGGTAACCCATCAGCTATGAAAAGAGTATTTTCTTAATTAAAAATAGGATGTAATATGATCTACAGGAAGAATCAATTGAAGCTGTTGACAATTGCAAATCTATTAACCATAAGGATGACTTTTAAGATTACTGCAGGCAATTTTATAAAAAAATAAATATAAGGTCATATTGAAAACGAATGAAGACGGTTAATGCCAGAACAATACCAGCCACCTGGTATCAGACAGGTACGGTTAAAAAAATGATTAACATAAAGATATACAAAGGATAATTTATATAATTTTGCCACCGTGTACATTAATATATTTTAAATAATTTTACTTCTAAGAATAATCTTTCACAGAACCATTTGTGATCTATTATACAGTAAAACCAATTTTGGGTGACAAATACATATTTCAAAATAGTATTTTAAGATAATATAATTCCAATGACTTTATTACCTCCTTTTACTTTCGAAATTGTCCTGGGTCAGAGGACATATTACATTATCACCCTAGTGGGAGAGATCCAAAGACACTGATCAGCTCAGACATTACAGGATCTAGTTTCACTTCCCCACAGGTTCTTGACTTCCTCTTTCTCACTCTTATCTTATAATTTATGTAAATGAATACTATGTGAGAAGCTTAACAGAGATGCAGAATATTTTGAGATTTTTCCATAACCACTCTCAGTCAACAAGAAGTTGAAAGCTTTCCCAGCCTTTTTGCTAACAGGAAAGTTTAAGGATCACTGCCCAGCTATTTCTTTGCTTTGCAAAGGCTGGTTGGATTTAAAATTAAAATTGTAAGTCAAGTTTCCTAACCTTCAGAAAGAAGGATTCCGCTTGAAGAGCATGTTCCAGGGAAGGTTCCCTTTGAGACTCCTATGTAAGGAAGAAAGCACAGCTAGACAAGTACACAAATCAGCAGTACAGTGAAAGAATATACAACCTAGCTACTTGAGGTTTCTTTCAGGACCATGTAAAGTTTAATTAGGAAAACAGTAAAATTTTCTGTATCAAATGAAAAAATCCATATACCCATCTTTACAGAACAAAATCCAACATTCCTGCTTTTAAGAGACTTAGCTTAAGAATAATGGCGGCCAGGTGCCATCACTCACACCTGTAATCCCAGCACTTTGGGAGCGCGAGGCGGGTGGATCATCTGAGGTCAGGAGCTCAAGACCAACCTGGCCAAAACAGTGAAACCCGATCTCGACTAAAAACACAAAAAAATTAGCTGGGCGTGGTTGGCACGTGCCTGTAATCACAGCTACTCGGGAGGCTGAGGCAGAAGAATTGCTTAAACCGGGAGGTGGAGGCTGCAGTGAGCTGAAATCAGGCCATTGCACTCCACTCCAACCTGGGCAACAAGAGCAATATTCCCCCCCACCAAAAAAAAGGCTACCTTCTCAACGTGGTCAACTCAGCCAAATCCAGCACACTATAAAAGTTAAAATACTAGAGCACACCCCCTTAATATCAGGAGCAAGGTATTCATCACTCCCATTCTTGCACAGTATGTTTGTTAATAAATTTGGAGCAATTAGACCCTCCGCCGCAAAAAAAGAAGAAACAAAAAAAGAGCCAGAGAAGGGAGAGACGGAGGGAGAGAGGGAGGGAGGGAGGGAGGGAGGAAGGAAGGAAGGAAGGAAGGGAGGGAGGGAGGGAGGGAGGGAGGGAGGGAGGGAGGGAGGGAAGGAATTTATAAACAATAAATTTTGTTGAACCTGATTAAGGTTCAACAAAAATTTTCTGTAAACATTTACAATAGTTAGTAAATATTTTAGGTTTTGCAGATGATACAGTCCCTGTCACAAGCACGGCTGACTTGTAAACAACATGGGTTTGAATTGTGTGGGTTCACTTAGGGGGGTATTTTTTTTTTAAATAAATACACTTCTCCATATGGGCAAGTTCTGCAGCTACAATCAAAAGTGGATCAAAAATACTGTGTTCACTGGATTCCAAACCTGCATATGAGGAGGACCAAGTTTTCATATCTGTGGGTTACACCAGGCCAGATATGGGACTTGAGTGTGCACAGATTTTGGTGTCTACTGTCCTGGACTGTACTGGACTTTGATGCTGCAGTGCAAAAGTAACCACAGACACAAATAAGCAAATGCACATGGCTCCACGCCATCACCGAATCTCTACTTGTGGACACTGAAATTGAATTTCATATAACTTTCATGTATCACAAAATATGATTCTTTTGATTTTTTTTCCCAATCATTTAAAAATCGTTCCTATTTCCTGGGCTGTACAAAAACAGGTAGAGCAAATTTGATGACACCCTCCCCTAGGTTATTTTAACAGTAATTACATAATTACTCTTTTTTTTTTTTTTTTTTTTTTTTTTTTTGAGACGGAGTTTCACTCTTGTTACCCAGGCTGGAGTGCAATGGCGCGATCTCGGCTCACCGCAACCTCCACCTCCCGGGTTCAGGCAATTCTCCTGCCCCAGCCTCCTGAGTCGCTGGGATTACAGGCACGCACCACCATGCCCAGCTAATTTTTTGTAGTTTTAGTAGAGACGGGGTTTCACCATGTTGACCAGGATGGTCTCGATCTCTTGACCTCGTGATCCACCCGCCTCGGCCTCCCACAGTGCTGGGATTACAGGTTTGAGCCACCGCGCCCGGCCATAATTACTCTTAATTAATTGGAGAATAACTATTAGATAAATATAGACATATCTAATTGTCCATCTCTAATTTTTCACACAGTAACGTTTTATAGAAAAATTGTAAAGAATAATCAAATTAAGAAAGTGTTCAATTCTAAAATAGAATTTTTATTTCCTTCTCCCAAAAAAAGGACCCAATCTCTTTAGCTATTAATTATATCCCTGTAAACATAGTAACCCTCAGGAATTTCTATTTGCTTTATATCTAATCTTCAAGCCTCACGGCACTCTCATCAAGAACAATGGCGTGCACACAGTTCTTAAATTCATTCCAGTTTCTTTCTTCCTTTTTTCTTTTTTTTTTTTTTTTTTTTTTTTTTTTTTTTTTGTGTGCTGAACTTCAGCCAAACATTAAATTACCTTGGGAAATAAAAGGTAAAAAAGAAAGAAGCACAAAGGTGGTATTTGGCCTCACTTTATGAGGACATTCAATCTTAATTTAGAAAAAGAGAGAAGAGCATTTTTAGTGTGAGGAGAGAAGCATGGGAACTGGAAAGAAGTAGAGAGCTTTTCAGACACACCTGTTTTTGTAAGTTTGTTTTCAGGTAACTATGCTTCCGTTTCTATGCAGGTGAGGTTGTAGGTCAGGGGTGTGTGTGTGTGTGTGTGTGTGTGTGTGTGTGTGTGTGTGTGTGTGTGTGTCTATAAATCCACACCCATTTTTAACCAGAAACGTCCAGAATACATTTCTAACAAGAGCACTGGCCAAGACAGGTAAGCAAGCAAAGTTCCCAGATTATTTTAATCTGTGGTCAAGCTTTGCTATATTTAAATAATCACCTTTTGCTATTTAAAAGTAAAGCTTTCAGTAAAGGGTGGGGTAAGTGAAATGAATTTGTATTTTTCTTCTTTTACTGAACTCAATTGCCTTTGCTGGTTTCATAATTTTATCTCTATTTATATTAATGCTATTAGATTAAATTGACATCAACCACAAAAACAATCCTTTAAAAATTATTCTACAAGTAAAAATAGCTCTTGTTTATATTCTTTAAAGTATTGTTTTATTTTAAAATACAGGAAGTTATAATATCAATTACTTATGTTAAATTGCTTCTGAAAAATAAAATACTAGTGTCAGAAAATGCTAACTGATGAATGTTTATACAATTTTTGACATATGGCCTCCCAAATGCATTTTAAGCTGCTGTAGGGCTGTAACCACGCCGTATTCATCTGTATTCCCCCAAGTAGCTTAACCTTGCAACCGATACTAAAGGACCCTCAGCAATTTACACTATATTTTACCAAGGAAAGCATTATTTATTCAAAATCTACAATGTACAAGTTGTATTGCTTTGTCACATAATATATTTAATATCTTTTTTATAATTTGTCAGTGTAAAACCAGAAAACCAAGATTTTTATTTTTTAATTAGAAAGTATTTTACAAGAATACATAAATACTTGAAATTTGAAAAAGAAAAATGGTTCCCACTTAACTCGAAACTTGGCAGCTTTAAAACAGCAAAAAATGATGAAGTGCTTTTTCTTTTTTAAAATGCAGATTGCACCTGCTTGCCTCTGTACCTAACATAGAAATTTTTTCTAATGCTTCCTCCAGATTGACTTTTCTTAACTCTTCTTTATATCCAAGATCCCTGGAAGAATTTTAATGAAGTTTAGGACCCTCTTACCATGGAAAATGAAGAGACATAGAAGATTTTGCACACAATTTCTGGGGATTTTGAGCCTTCTGTAGCTCATCCACAGGCCTCCAGAAGCCTGCTGGATCCAGGTTCAGATCCTGTCCTAGATGGCTGCCTCAGTTCCTTCACTGCAACTCCCAAGTTAACTGAGGCTGCCTACCCTGGGTTGGGCTTTGTGTTCCAGAGTCAACTGTCCCCATCCTCTACTAAAACTCACCCTTTTTTTGTTTCAGTCTTTAAATTACAAGATGACTGAGTCCTTAAGGTACAGCATGACATTCTGAAATGTTTTATGGTTTAATAAGTTGTAGGAGCTTAAAGGAAATCGTTATCAGGCACCACAGTAATTGTTTAACAGGGTTTTTTAATGCAGGGTGTGGGGAGGGGTCACAAGCAGGCAGGCCAGGCGCAATCATTTGAGGTCAAGAGTTCGAGATCAGCCTGGCCAACATGGTGAAACCTGGACTCTACTAAAAATACAAAAATTATCCAGGTGTGTTAGTGGGCGCCTGAAGACCCAGCTACTTGGGAGGATGAAGCAGAAGACTTGCTTAAACCCAGGAGGCAGAGGTTGCAGCGAGCGGGGAATCTCACCATTGCACTCCAGCCTGGGCAACAATAGTGAAACTCCATCAAAAAAAAAAAAGAAAAGGAAAAAAAAAGAATGAGAGAGAGAGAGAGAGGAAGGGAGGGAGGGAGAGAGGGGAGAGAGGGAGGGAGGGAGGGAGGGTTTACTTGGGATTAGGGAGGGAAATAAAGTAAGGTTAACCTGGAGTGGTCACTCTTTTCAGTCCACAGAGGGGCTGTAATATATACACCACTGGGAAAGGGAAATATTAGAACGGGAGGAATGAGGAAATGTCTGGAGAAACCTAGAATCTATAAACTTCTTTACCACCTAATTGTTCTCTCCCATGACTACAGTTGCTATTTTAAAATGACTAGGGTATTAAAATTGCCAAATGTTTTGCCAATGCCAAAACATTGTGTCTTATATATCTTCCCATTTTCCACAATGCCTACTACAATAAACTATAGCAACATCTTTGTTTGAAAAGAATCACTAAAGAATCATTCACTAGCCATTTTAGCTAAGGAATTTCACTGTTTTGGTGAGGAATTCACTACTAAATAATATAAGTCAATCGGAAAGATATCTTAAAGGAACCTTAAATAAATGTGAAGAATACCTGTACATTTATTTTATATTTTGAGGTAAATTTTCAAAACTGCATGTGCCAACCATTTTCAAATGAGTTTTATATGCTAATGCTGTAACTAAACATCTCACAAGTATTGAAGACTTCCTGTAATATATTTATCAGGTGGTTTGCGACCAGATCAGACCCAACTTTGGACTTTAGTTTTTATCTTAACAGCACATTGAGTTAAGAACCAGTTTGAATTCTAGCTAACCAAGAGAGAATATAATCATGGCACATCTACTCTTCTCTGTACATATGTCTAATTTATAGCAATATGACAGCACTTGATTTTTATAAAGAGCTGTGTTATAAATGACAGGCAAAATTCTGAGTAATTGCTGAAGCATGAGAAAGGTAAAATCCATAAAGGAACTGAAGGACAAGAATCCTCCACATTCTATTTTTCCTCTGATTTCTATTTTAAGCAATATTTGTTCATGTCTAATCTTTTATTGGTATAGATTTAAAATGTTTTGACCTATTAGATACAGGAGAATCAAAAGGAAAGACTATGTCTGCATGCTAAAATTCACTCTATAGTTTACAGGCCATTAGAAAACATAACCTAATTTGTGCTTCATCTTGGTGGTGTGAACACTACATAGCAATTCAGAAGCAGGCTTTGTGTGCCCTGATCTCTCTCTCTTTTAATTATACAACACTATGCCCAGGATGCTCAGAACATGACTTCTCACCAACTGAGCATCTATCGAGTTAAATATTTTTAAAATAAAAAATGAATTAAAGTTCTATGTGTTTGGTTATACCATGTCAAACCAAAAACGCAGATCAGTCAGACATCACAGGATTGGTCCAACTCTTAGCAAATATCTTCTAATGATAGCTTGAAGTAACTCACTAGATTCTGAGAATTCCTTTCTGTCATCTAGCTCCTTCTGAGAGATTCTCTAGAAGACATGATGCTACACTCAGCTTCAGCTCTCTGCCTATTACTCGTCACAGTTTCTTCCAACCTTGCCATTGCAATAAGAAAGGAAAAGAGGCCTCCTCAGACACTCTCAAGAGGTGCTGTAAACTTATTTTATTTTCTAAACTCAGTCGCTTAAATTGCTTTTTAAAATATCTACTGTCTTCACTCGTAGTCAAATTATGAAGCAAATTAAACTAACTGAATGATTTTTGTTGTGTATGACTTCAAAATAGATTTTTACAAACAGAATGGATCAGTTTATTTTAGGCAATGGATCAAATCAACCAGCAAACAATAAAATAAATTTGCATTATCTTTAACTGAAATAATAGAGAATTGGCTTGCTGTCTCTTAGAATACCAAGTAACCAAAGTCCTAGAAAATAATGATTGATTGCTATGTCATATTAGTGTCCTAATAGCAATTTAAGATTTTTCAAAATTTGCTCAAATTCTCAGTTCTCTATTTCCCAGTCCTCCAAAATAAAAAATAATTTGGAATGATTTTATATAAGCCTACCCAGAAAATTATAGTGTACCCCAAACCCTGAGAATTTGGGGTAACCAAGTCTCGCTATATTGACTCTGGAAGACAGATGCAGTGGTTTTAGACATAATCAAGGATTGCCATTGGCTACATGTTTAGAAAACATTTCTTTTAGTACTTACTGTTTTACTTTGTCCTAAGAAACAAATATACATTCAACTTTAAAAAAACATTTTATAAAAGAAAAAATTCTCAAAGTTGGTTTCTATATTTCCAAGTAACAGAAGTAGGAACAGAATTATTTGTCTCCCCATAGCTATTCAAAATTAGCAGTATTACCACAGAGCACTGAGCACTTGTTTGCTACATTCCACATTACCACTGCAAATAGTGGTCAAGTGCTTTGTAGTAATACTGCTAGTTTTGAATAACCATGTAGGAATATATATATATATCAGAGGTAGGAACAGAGTAATTATATTATAGTATATATAGAGTAAATATAGTATATATTTATATATAATTATATCTAATAATATCTTATGTAATAAATTATATTAAAATATATAATTATAAATATATATATTATATATAATTTCAAATTCTAAAACATTGACTTGTTTCCCAAGTACATTTCATTTCTTAAGAGATGTATTGAGTGCCAACCAAGTGCTCATCAATGTTTACCTAAGCTAATTAATTCTACTTCAGTTTAACAAATATACAAACTATATATACAGAAAGTCAATATATTTTTGCAAAAGAAATGAATTAGAAAGTTGAAATATTTTCCTAAACATAATCCTGTTTCTCTGTATAGCATAATAGTTGTAAAACAATGAGTTCAGTAGCCTTAAAGTGCCAGAGACTCAGCTAGTAATTGCCCTTAAACACTGTTCAGGTCTGCATTAAGCAGCATTGCTATAACTATACAAGGCATCAATATTCTGTGTGTTCACTTCTAAATAGTTATTTAAAACTCCTTCCAAATTTTATGAAAAATGTATTACATTTGTATGCCCTATTTTAAACAACTTAGAAGTTCTGTTTTTTTAAATGATAAGGAACTAATTTAATGCAGAAGATGACCAATGACTGTTAATGAGAATTGGTTTATATTTGGCAAAGTCTTTTACCATCTATTGCTACTTGTGAAACAAGTGAGAGAATAAGGCTCAGAACGAATGAAGATTAAAGGGAGGGGTGAGTGGGAGGAGGTGGGATACAGTATATGAAACTCCTCACAGCACAGAGCAGCATATGAAGCCCCTTAGAACACAGGGCAACATCAGTGAAGTAGAAAAGGTAGTAAGGAGAAAAAGAAGATTAATTAGAAAAAGATAGAAGAAGGTTCAGGGAGAAAAAAATACACATACAATGATACGAAAAATCTCAACTTCCTTTGAATCAGAATTGCTGAGTACCTAGTCCAGTGCCTCGCAGATAGTAAATACTTAAATACATGTTAGATAAATGAAGGAAATATCAAAAGACAAGAAAACATAGCCAGAGATAGAGATAGAATTAGAGTAATAAGCAGAAGCCATAAAGAGCATTTAAACTGTGTACCAGCTTTGACCTATTGTGATTATGAGACACAGTATATGACAAATTATTATAATGCAATATGTATTCCCTATAGGGCTATGGATACTTTTTTTTAGAACAGGGATTATATTGCTTTATGTGTATATTCCCATTGCTTTGTGGAGTAAGATATACAACAGATGTTCCTTTACTGTTTGTGGAACCAAATTGAACAGGAGCAGAGAATACAAAGTTTTCCTATTGCTAATGTTCCAGTATTAAATGATATTTGCAACAGAACAGGGAAAATTAAGCAGAGGCCTCGTCTCACTTGCTGTTTTAGAATAACTTTTACTTAACGCAAAATGTGCTATATACATACAGCATGTGTTCAAGCAAAGTTGGAGAGAGGCTCTTTCAGAATTATTACAGAGAGCAAGAGTTCCTGTTAAGATGTGGCATTAAACTAACAAGAGATGTTTTCCAATGTTAAGATTTTAAATCAGGAAAAAAAAAAAAACCAAAAACATTGCTAGTGAGAATGTAAAATGATACAGCTACTTTAGAAAATAAGCTAGCAGCTCCTCAAAAAGCTAAACATAGAGTTACTGTTTGATCAGCAGTTCTACTCCTAGGTATATACCCAAGACAAATGAAAACATCTACCGCTCAAAACCGTGTCTATGTATGTTCACAGCAGCATTACTTGTAAAGGCCGAAAAGTAGAAACAACCCAAATATCTATTAACTGATGAGCAGATAAATAAAATGTGGTATATCCAGACAACAAAATAATATTTGAACCATAAAAAATGAATTAAATAATAGTACATGTTACTATATGGATGAACCTTAAAAAGGTCATGCTGAATGAAAAAACTTTAGTCACAAAAGGCTACATATTGCATGATTCCATTTATATGAAATGTCCAGAATAAGCAAATCTATAGAGACAAACAGTAGATTAGGGGTTTCTTAGGGCTATGGCAGTTGAAGAAAATGGGGGGGAGGTGATAGCTACATGGTATAGGGTTTCTTTCTGAAGAGATGAAAATGTTCTAAAACTGATTGTGGTGATGGTTATACACTTTGTGGATATACTTTTAAAAAGTATACTGTTTTTTGTTTTTGAGATAGAGTCTCACTCTGTCACCCAGGCTGGAATACAAGTGGCATGATCTCGGCTCACTGCAACCTCCGCCTTCTGGGTTTAAGCGATTCTTCTGCCTCAGCCACTTGAGTAGCTGGGACTACCGGCACACACCACCATACATAGCTAATTTTTGTATTTTTAGTAGAGACAGGGTTTCACCATGCTGGCCAGGCTGGTCTCGAACCCCTGACATTAAATAATCTGTCTGCCTCAGCCTCCCAAAGTGCTGGGATTACAGGCATGAGCCACCATGCCTGGCTAAAAGTTTACATTTTCAATAGGAAGTTGTATTGGTATATGAATTTATTTCAATAAGACTGTCACCAGAAAACAAACATGCAAAACAAACAAATAAGCAGAAATCATGGAATCATATTTATCTTGCTTTCTAATTATCCATGATATTAAAGCCAGAAACTGTGGTCTGACAACATTTGAAACATGTAAGAAAATCTGGGCCCAAACTGACCTTCAAATAATTCTAATTTTCACATTAATTCAGTCTTTCTCATTCATAGACTGAGACATTTCCTGAAAATACTCAGTAATGTTTTTTGAGGTTCTGTGTATTCTTCTCCTTGATGATCTTATTCTTTAATTTCTAATGTACATTCCCAACTACTCATACCGTTTCTTTAAGGCTAATGGGTTCTCTTAATAATCATTGCTTTCTGTTTTTTCTCTCCATTCTTTTGGGTGTTTCCAAAACACATGTGCTTTATTATATCTCTCCGCCATGAAATTCCCACACTAGAATTTTTTCCATGTCAGAATTCAAAGCAAATTCTCTTATTTCACAATGTATACTGACTTAGAAAAGGTCAGAATCTCCTGGGACTTAAAATACGAGGGCATTATACAAACCAAAGTATTCCTAATAATATTACAAAGTATGCAAAGATTAACCGTTAATTTCCAAACATTCTGAAAGTCAGAGCTTTTACATTACCCAAAGATCTCCTTTCAATCAGCTCTAGTCATAACAACATTTATTAAGCACTTACTGCATTCAAGGCCATGGGCCTCAAGGTTTGAAATACAGTAGCAAAACCTCAATGCTACAATCTAAAGGGAAACCACTTCCATATCTAGTGAAAATTGTGTGTCCTCTGCACCATATGTCAGCCAACAGCTTGATGGCTTAGTTACAATCTGTAGGTAGATATCTGCTTTTTAGATAACCATTTCAGAGCTCTTCTGTTGTTCTTGGTTACTGCATTGATTTCTCTCTTCTATTTAGGATGGGGAGATGACATCACTTGGGTACAAACTTATGAAGAAGGTCTCTTTTATGCTCAGAAAAGGTAACATGCCTCCTCAGCTCATATTTTCCTTTTATTTGTAGTAGAATCATAATAATTATACATATTTATGGGATATAGGGTGATATGCTGATACATGTACACAATGTATAATGATCAAATCAGGGTAATTAGCATATGCGTCACCTCAAAAATATCATTTCTTACTGATGGGAACACTCAAAAATCCTCTCTTCTAGCTTTTTTAAAATATACAATAAACTATTGTTAAGTATATGTACCTATAGTGCAATAGAATACTACTAGAACTTATTCCTCCTATCTAGTTGTATTTTTGTATCTATTCATCAACCACTCCTTAACCTTCCTCCTCCCAACCCTTCCCAGCTTCTAACAACCACAGTTCTACTTCTATGAACTCACCTTTTTTTTTTAGCTACCCTAAATGAGTGAGAATATGTGGTATTTATCTTTCTATTTCTGACTTATTTCACTTAACATGTCCTCTAGGCTCATTCACGCTGCTGTGAATGAGAGGATTTCATTATTTTTTACAGCTGGGTAGTATTCCACTGTGTATATGTAACACTTTTTCTTTATTTATCCATCCATTGATGAACATTTAGGTTGATCCTATATCTTGGCTATTGTGAATAGTGAGTCAATAAACATGGAGATACAGATATCTCTTTGATATACTGATTTTTTAAATAAACAGTAGTAGGAAAGCTGGATCATATAGTAGTTATATGTTTGGTTTTTTGAGACTCCTCTATATAGATTCCATAATGGCTGTACTAATTTACATTCCCATCAACAGTGTATAAGAATTCCCTTTTCTCTGCATCCTTACCAGCATTTATTTTGTTTTGTTTTGTTTTGTTTTGTTTTTGTCTTTTGGATAATGCCAGTTCTAACTGTGGTGAAATAATGTCTCATTGTGGTTTTGGTCTGCCTTTTTTGATGATTAGAGATGAGATTGAGATTGAGAAGTTCTTCATATACTTGGCCATTTGTGTGTCTTCTTTTGAGAAATGTCTATTCAGATGTTTTGCCCATTTTAAAATCATATCATTTGGGGATTTTGTTGTTATTGAGTTGTTTGAGTTGCTTGTATATTCTAAATATTAGGCCCTTGTCAAATGAATAGTTTGCAAATAATTTCTCCCATTCTACAGGTTGTCCCCTTACTCTTTTGTTTCCTTGGCTGTTCAGAAGCTTCTCAGGTGATATATTCCCATTTGTCTATTTTTGTTTTTCTTGCCTGCACTTTTGAAATCTTACCCATACAATTTTTGCTGGGAACAATGTCCTAAAGGGATTCCTTTATATTTTCTTCTAGGAGTTTTATACTTTAAGGTCTTACATTTAAGTCTTTAGTCCATTTTTAATTAATTTTTGTATATGGTGAGAGATAGGAGTCTAGTTTCATTCTTCTACATATAGATATCCAGGTTTTCCACACCATTTATTGAAAAGGGTGTCCTTTCCCCAATGGATGTTGTTGGTACCTTTGCAAAAAATCAGCTGACTTTAAATATGTGGATTTATTTGTGGATTCTCTATTCCATTGGTCTAGGTGTCTGTTTTTATACCAATACCACACTGTTTTGGTTACCACGGCTTTGTAGTATATTTTGAAGTCAGGCAGTATGATGCCTGTATTTTTGCTCTTTTCACTCAGTATTGCTTTGACTATTTGGAGTCTGTTGTGGTTCTATACAAATTTTAAGATTTTTTCTTTCTGTTTCTGTGAAAAATGTCATTGGTATTTTGATAGAGATTGCACTGAATCTGTAGATTGCTTTCAGTAGTATGGTCATTTTAGCAAAATTCATTCTTCCAATCCATGGCATGGGATGTCTTTCCATTTTTTGGTGTTCTCTTCAATTTCTTTCTTCAATGTTTTACCATTTTTATTGTAGAGATGTTTCACCTCCTTGGTTAATATATTCCCGTGTGTGTGTGTGTGTGTGTGTGTGTGTGTGTGTGTGTGTGTGTGAGAGAGACTTTCGTTTATTTGTTGTTTTTTTGAGCTGAAGTGTCACTCAGTCTCCTAGGCTGGAGTGCAGTGGCATAATCTCAGCTCACTGCAACCTCCACCTTTCAGGTTCCAGCAATTCTCCTGCCTCAGCTACCTAAGCAGATGGGATTACACACGCACGCCATCACACCCAACTAATTTTTTATTATTGGTAGAAACAGGGTTTTACCATGTTGGCCAGGCTGGTCTCGAACTCCTGATCTCAGGTGATCTGCCCACCTTGGCCTCCCAAAGTGCTGGGATTGTAGGCGTTGGTCACCATACCCAGCCTTTTTGTGGTTATTGTAAATGGCATTGCTTTCTTGTTTCTTTTTTTTTTTTTCCACTTAGTTTGTTATTGTTGTATAGAAATGCTACTGGTTTTATGTGTTGATTTTGTATCCTTTACTCCGTTAATTTTAACAGATCCTATAGATATCCCATAGAAGATTCAAAAACTGACATTTTAGTGTTTAAAAAGATGCCACAAGTATTTGCTCTGCTATTGCATGCCACTGTATGACTAGTAGCTGCTATTAGAAAGCATTTTATAAACCAAAGTTCTAAATACCTCTATATTCATGTATTTATTACTCAAGCAAGCTTTTCAGTATGTTGTAGAAACAAAGCAGTATTATTTTATAGGCATTATACAGGCTTAAACAGAAAACTGGTTTAGGGCAGCAGTTTTAAGACCTGTTTGAATATCAGAACAATTTGAGTAGCTTTTTTAAAAATCCAAATTTATAATTAATAAGTCAAGTATTCCTTGGATGTCCAGTGCTATGTGCCAGACACTGTTCTAGGCTCAATGACCAAGTATGACACAATTTTTATTCTTAAAAACCTATTAAGCATTTGGGAATGAAGCTGAAAAACATTACGAAAGCTCCCAAGAATTAATAAAATAGCTAAAAAACATTCTATTGCAATACTCATTAAAGATGAAGAAAGATTACAGATTAACTATTGTTTCCATATTAAACAAGCATTACAAAAGAAAGAAGTCTACAGAAGAATCTCACTTCCAAATATCAGTGTAACAAACCAACAACATATTAGTAAGGAGCACTAGTAGAACTTTAAATATTATACGCTGATAAACTGAGGTTTAGTCTGGGAATGTCAGGGTGGTTTAGGATTAAGAAATGTATTAATTAAAATAATTTAATCTTTATAAGGAAACAATCCATACAAGTATCTCTCATCTCCATAAAATTCTGAAAAGGCATTAAACAGAATGAAACATCCATATCTGAATTTTTGACACCCTGCATTTGAGACTATTAATTTATTTAAATTAATCCTAACAAAGAGACAGCATTCCAACAGCAGCAACAACAAAAAACCAACATTATGCTACTGGGAAAACAAATAGAAGTGTCCCATTAAAGTGTGGATAAGACAAGTATGTCTACAATCACAGCAATTTCTAACATTTTTCTGGAGGTACTAACTAATGCAATTAGTTGAGAAAAAGGTAGAAAACATAGAAAGGAAAAGTTAAAAACTATCTTTATTTTCAGATGATGATTTATATACGTGAAAAACTAAAAAGAATTTAAAATATTCAGAATAACAAAAATTCTGTTGAATTAGATGAGAATAAGTTAATATTTAAAAATTCATTGCATTTATATATAGAAAATCACATACCAAAAAACTTGTAAAATACCTCATTTACAATGACTAAAAAGAAAATACCCCAGAATAAACTTGACAGATGTGCAAAATCTCTAGGAACCTTAATACTCTAAAAATAAAAAATATTTGGCAGTGCATATTGTATTCTTGGAAAGAAAGACTGAACATCATAAAAATGCCCATTATCTCTATACTTTAAAAACTTTTTAAGATGATCACAACAAATCATGATAAAAAATTTTAAAAGGTAATTCTAAAATTGAAATGAAAAAACAGACATGAGTAGTTAGGATAGTTAGGAACATTCTTAAAACAGAGCAATGGAGATTAAGACTTAATCATGATTCAACACTGTATAAAGCTATAATAAACAGTATGTCACTAGTAAATAAATAAAATATGATAAAAGTATGTAAATAAATAATTAAAACTTTACAAATGGATTAGGATCTCCAAACAAAACACATAGAGGAACTCAATGTATTAAAAAACAGTTTCCCCTGGCCCTACATCCTGCCTCAGCCTCCCGAGTAGCCACCACACCAGCTAATATTTCTATTTTTGGTAGAGACAGGATTTCACCATATTGCCCAGGCTAGTCTCAAATTTATAAGCTCAAGGGATCCTCCTGCCTCGGGCTCCCAAAGTGCTGGGATTACAGGCATGAGCCACTGTACCAGGCCTCACTTCACCTTAAAGGATGTTTATCAACTGCAATTGAAAGGATCAAACAATACATTCTATATCAATAGAAACAAAACAAATAGGTAGCTACGCTTACATCAGATAAAATTGACTTTAAGTCAAAAAATGTAAAGAGACACAAAGAAGGTCATTAAATAATAAGAAAGGTATTAATTTACCAAGAAGATACAATTATAAATATATTTCCATCCAACATTACAGTACCTAAATACATAAAGCAGATATTAATAGATCTGAAAAGAGGAATACATTACAAAACAATAATAGTAAGGGACTTCAGTACTCTACTTTCAACAATGAACAGATCATCCAAAAAAGTCAACAAGGAAACATTGGACTTGAACTACACTTTAGACCAAATGGACCAACAAACATATACAAAGCATTTAATCAAACAGCAAGAGAAGATACATTCTCAATGGCATAGGGATTATTTTTTAGAACAGATCACATGATACACCACAAAATAAGTCTAACAAACTTAAGAAGACTGAAATTATATCAAGTATCTTTTCTGACCATCAAGAGATGAATTGATAAAATGTGGTATATGTACACAATAAAATACTATTTAGTTATTGAAAAGAAGAAAATCCTGAATAACTATACAAAGAGCCTATTTCCTTTGAGGCTCACAATCCACTTAAAATCAAAGCAGTATTTTAAAAAATCATTCTATATACCCAGACGTTGGTCTAGGCAATGAATTTTTGGATATGACCTCAAAAATACTGGAAACAAAAGCAAAAATAGGCAAGTGAGATTACATCAAACTAAAAAGCTTCTGTACAGCAAAGAAGACATTAACAAAATGAAGAAATAACCAACAGAATGGAAGAAAATATGTACAAGCCATGTATCCGAAAAGAGGCAAGTATTCAAAATATACGAGGAACTCAAACAACTCAACAAAACACAAATAAAATTTGTGTTTTAAAAATGGACATAGGGCCGGGCGCGGTGGCTCAAGCCTGTAATCCCAGCACTTTGGGAGGCCGAGGTGGGTGGATCACAAGGTCAAGAGATCGAGACCATCCTGGTCAACATGGTGAAACCCGGTCTCTACTAAAACTACAAAAAATTACCTGGGCATGGTGGCGCGTGTCTGTAGTCCCAGCTACTCAGGAGGTTGAGGCAGGAGAATTGCCTGAACCCAGGAGGGGGGGGTTGCGGTGAGCCGAGATTGCGCCATTGCACTCCAGCCTGGGTAACAAGAGCGAAACTCCGTCTCAAAAAAAAAAAAAAAAAAAAAAAAAAATGGACATAAGACCTGAATAGACATTATTTAAAAGAAGACATACAAAGGGGCAACAGGTAGATGAAAACAACACTTAACATCACTAATCATCAGGGAAATACCAATTAACACTACAATGAAATACCACCTCACTCCTTTTAGAAAGATTATTACCAAAAAGATAAATAATTTTAAATCAGGAATAGGGAACACAGGTTATGTAATAATTAGTGTCTGAGAGAAGTTGGTAGCCATCTGAGAAAAACATAAATTTTCATCCCAATCTCACATTTATGCAAAAATAAATTAGAAAGATATAATCATAAAAATTAAAAAATTAAGAACTAGAAGATTCTACTGCAAAATTTTATTTATTTAAATGCTTGGAATAGGGGAGAGCCAAGATCATAGTGAGGCAAGAAAGATACCTGGGGTTCAAAAATAAAGCCCCTAGTTTTTCTACTCTAGATGATCCCCCTGGCCTCACCATAGTCCGGTCTGTTAGACTTGAGTATAGCCAAAGAAAAGGAAGAGAGGAAAGAAAAAGCCTAAAAGAAATGACTAATATTTTCAATTATATGGAATTTTCTGCATAACCAAAAACTTACAGTGAACAA